CCTAATCCTAGCTCCCACCTAAACCCCAAAACCCTAAACCCGAAACCCCTAAACCCTAAACCCATAATGAATCTTGAAACCCCGAAAGCCTCAAACCTTACAGACCTACACTCTACACCTCCAAACCCTGAAGCGCTAAACCCGAAGACCTAAAATAGGGGCCTCACTAATTAGAACAAGGTTTTGGGGGCTTCCATATTATCATTATAGTATACTATACCCCCCAAACCCTATTCTAATTATGAAGGCCCCTACATGATCGTGCAAGGACCCTCGAACCGCTTCGAGACCTGTGCATGGAGACCTTCAGCCGTGTGGAAGGACCTTCTCATCGCTCATCCTTGAGTGGTGTTAGGGTTTAGGGTTTCGGCGTGGGGGTTTTCGGGTTTATTAGGATTTGGGGTTTAAGGGTTTAGGATTGTTAGGTTTGTTTGGGCTTTCGGATACCGTGACTCTATGCATGCAGGCTCTATTGATCTAGGGTTGAAACCATGGGCCCCTAGTATGGGCCCTAAACCCTGGGATCCTTATACACCTACTAGATACCCTACATGTACCCTTAAGGGTCCCTAGAAAGGCCTTAGGGTCCATATTAGGGGCCCCTACTTCGAACCGAACGGGGTTTGAGGCTTGTTGTCCTAGTGTGTTCAGTGTTCTGATGGTTCAAGGCTTTCGGGATTTCGAGTCTAGAATTCTGGGGATTTGCGTTTCGAGTGTAGGGCTTCACGGGGTTTTGGTAGTTAGTTCCAGCGTGTAAGGCTTCAAGCTTTGAGCTCGTGGTGCGTGGATCTTCGACGTGTTAGCTCTAAAGTACAGCTGCCCAGGTGACAATGTCAAGGGACTCAAGGAGGGACCCTTAAAGGGACCCTTGGGGCTATATTGGGGCTTTATGAGACTATATAAGGGGGTTTTCAGGGTTAGATAGGGTATTTGGATTAGGGTCCCTTCTAGGGGTCCCTCGTATTGTCCCTTAACAATGAGTGTGATACACCTTGTCTTTCTAGGTGATATGTACTCTTTAACTGTATAATGAACCACCAAGTACGCCCTGAGCCCACGCTTGAAGTGCTACGGCAACCACGTCTGGTAGAGTTTGGGTGTAGCTGTGGTTTCAGGGTTCAGGGTGCGGGGGTCTGCGAAACTAGGAATCTGATATCATGGGGTTGCAATGCATGCTTTTTGAGTTCCTCTTAATATCCAGCAAAACGATGCTCGGTCTAATGAACAGTCCAGGAGCCCAGTACCTCGAAGAAGTAGTCTTTGCACGAATAGCGGCTTCTTTGTATTATGTTAATGTATCGCGTAAGAAGTTTACATGATGAAGGAGCGATGAGCTCTGTGGGACCACACATGTCCATACAACCATCAAGTGAAGTAGCCCCGGAACCTCCAAAACAATAAACCCTGAACCTTAAACCCTAAACTTACCTTAACCTACCAGAACCTACTCTTTTGTAGGTTCTTCTTATTATAACTCCAATATGGACTTTATACGGGCCCCACAAAAAAAGTAGGTTTTGGTAGGTTTAAGGTCAAGCCCGACTGCGTGAAATGAAGGGTTTGATCCGCCACCACGCTGGCTGCAGAGCTTGCTGCTCTCGCTGTGCCTCGGCTCGGAGTTTTCAAGCGGAAGATCTCGTGGGGCTTCGAGTTTTGGTTGAGGGTTTCGGGTTTTGGTTTAAGGTTTAGGGTTTAGGGTTTAGGGTTTAGGTTGAGGGTTTAGGGTTGTGGTTTCGGGTTAGGGTTTTAAGACAACCCTGGTTCTTCTGTGAGGCTGTTGCAACATGGATATTGTTGTGCTTGGGATTTCGCACCAGGCTTGGCTCCTGCATATTCAGAGAACCCAATACCCCTTAATTAAGGAATACACCTTTCAATCATAATATTCAGGCCTCTATAATTCAAGGGATATTCCTTAGTTAAGGGGTATTGGGTTCTCTGCATATTCGAGTTTTAGGACTCTTCCACTTCTTGCATTTTAAGCGCAGAAAACCCTAGCCGTAAGACCGCAAACCCTAAAGCCTTTCAAGAATCGTACAGAATAGAAATCATGGCATACTGCTATAGTACCTAAACCCTAAACCCGGGAAGTCTTCAAAGTCTACTTTCTTCGGATCCCTATGGGATGTTGACCATCATGCCGTCGCAAAGATGATCTAAGGGCTTTAGGAGGGACCCTTAATAGGGACCCTTGTAGGTTATTGGGGTTAATATGGAGACTACCTGGCCATATAAGGAGTATATAAGGACTATACAATGGTGATTTAAGGTAATGGGATTAGGGGGTCCCTCCTAAAGTCCTTAGAGACCCTGTATCCTGAACCCTTAACCCTAAACCCTCACACCCCCAAATACCCATTGTATAGAAGGAATGGCCAGGTAGTCTCCATATTAACCCCAATAACCTACAAGGGTCCCTATTGAGGGTCCCTCCTACAGTCCTTAGAGATGACGAGCCGGAATCCCAAAGCCGATTCAGTACATCCCAGAAAGCCCAAGTTCATTGAGGTCTGCAAAGATGAAGGCATACCCTTTAGGGTTTAGAGTTTAGGGTTTAGAGTTTAGGATTTAGAGTTTAGGGTTTAGGGTTTAGGATGCAAACATGAAGGCAGACCCTGCCTGGAGGTTCATAGGTAGTTATACGTGGTTGTTAAACGTAGGGTAACTATACTTATAGCCCACATGAAGGGACTTATAACCCCACTTATAACTACCACTGAAGCTCCAAGTACCCCTAAACCCTAAACCCTGAACCCTAAACCCGAAACCCTAAACCCCTAAACCCTAAACCCTAATGCTCTAGAGTTCCAACCCCCCAGGAACCCCTCAAGCCAGAGTCCCGGGGGGGCCCGGCGCCGGATTTCCGAATCCGCTTTCGCAAACTGAGTCGGGGAATCTTTGCACACACATACACATACACAATGTATGTGTATATATATTTTTACATATTTATATATATGCACATTAGAACAGTTGAGGTTTATGGTTAGGCTTTAAAGTACAGAGTCTTCTGAGTCTGATTCAGGGCAGGCTCCTTCCTTCAGCAGTACTGAAGTAAGGACCAAGGATTGTAGGCCTTAAAGTATACCGGTAACTCTCTTTACCTACAGTTTAACAGCCATGACCCCTTAATTAGTAGGTCGAGCCCATAAAAATCGTAGGTAAGTAGAGATCCCAGGTAGAGGCTACTCAATTTACTTTAGGGCTCCTGACTTAAACCCTAAACCCGAAACCCTGAACCCTAAACCCCAAACCCCCAAACCCCTAAACCCCTAAACCCCTAAACCTTGAACCCTTAAACCCTAAACCCTTAATCCCTTGAAGTCTCCTGCGAGATGCCGCCTTGGCCGCAAGATCTCCGCCTTCGATCTTCCGCCGCTGCTCCAGAAAGCTTCTCCTGTGGCGGCGAAGACGCTCAAGGAGCGGTCTCTAGGGCTTTAGGGTTTAGGTTTTAGGGTTTAGGGTTTAGGGTTTAGGGGTTAGGGTTTGGTGTTTAGGGGTTTAGGG